TATTTGTATTACCCATAATGCCTAAGATCCCCAGTCATGGACTGGACCCCACTGTGTAAGGTGTTAAACACAGAACAAAAAAAACAGTCTCTCTCCCCCAAAGAGCTCCCAGTCTAAGTTGTCTTAGACTTTTAATGTGATAACTTCTTTTGTCACATTATTTATTTCGAGTGACTTTGCCAGCACCTGTACTGTCCATTCTGTCGTCAGCCAGCAGCAAATGTTTCTGGGGCCAGTAAAAAGGTTGAGGAATATATGCCCAAATTTTCAAAAGTGACCTCTATCTTTGGATGCCTTAGCTTCCAGGATTTAATATTTTAGATCAACATTTATAAAAAAGAAAACCCCTTCCGTGCATTAACTCAAAATAATTTCTGTACATTGTGCAAAAGATTTTAAAATGTGTTTGATGGTTCCCATTGGAGGGAAAAAATTTATATTATTTCATAAACAAAAGAATCCCCATTTTTATTACATATCTGAGGGCTTAACTAGGACTAAGTGGTACATTGGCATTATGCTGACCTTCTGCACGGGGGTGAATTTCACCCTCTTCACATAGATGAAGACTTTTGCATGTGAAAATTCTATATGTACAAAGAGATATTTGTAAAATTGTATTGTACTGATCTGTCAAGCTGTAATCCATGTGTCATTTACAAAAACAGAGTCCCTTTTCATTATAACAAAAGCAGGTATCCATTATCAACTTTGAGGAAAACTGTATTTGCACCATTAACCAGATGACAGCTCTTGTCCAAGCTGTGGACATTAGCTAAGAACTGTCAACTCATACCTGGAGACCATACCAGTTCACCTATATGTTAGTTTTGCTCAAAATAGGTATTTGTCTTATAATAATGTATTCAGTGTTCAGACTCTATAACATGCTTGTAAGTTGCTGCATGCATTAATTTCACCTGTAGTGTCTGTATTCCGTGCTATAAGAAAATATATATGTTTTGCTTTATAACTTTGCAAAATGTTTGCTCTGAACTTGTGAACCCATGCACTGGAATTGTTCCCCCTGCCCATCCAGGAGGGCTATCAAAATTTAAGTGGGCCATTAAAAGACAAAAGCTTTGTTAATTGCCCCATGGAGAAGTACATGCAGAAGGCCTCGTCCCATCGCTTTGAATGCTGGAAGAGGGAAATAAAAGCAGTTGATATGAAGATTTTTCATCTCTTTGCTGTTTGAACTCTCACAGAGCCAGAGAAGCCAAAGATCTTGGGGATTACCTCTGGGGTCTGCCCTAAAAGACACTCTGAATTGACAGATCACTACAACTCTGTTACTCTTAGGATTTAGAGGGTAACTCATCTGTGTGTATATGTTTGCTTGCTTTAACCTGTAAATAACTCATTTCTTTTTCCTAATTAATAAACCTTTAGATAGTTTATTACAGGATTGCCTAGAGGAGTTGTCTTTGGGGTAAGATCTCGGGTACCAACAGATTTAGGGTAAATGACTGGTCTTTTTGAACTGGAAGCAACCTGAGTAGTGTGTGATTTTTGGTGTAAGTGACCATTTATCATTAAGTCCAGTTTGCCTTGGTGGCAAGATAGACTGGAGAGTCTAAGGAAACTGTCTGTAACTCCATGGCAAGACTGTTAAAGTGATCCAGGAATTCACATATGTTACTGGCTTGGTGAAATCTAATTATAGAACAAATCACCAGTTTGGGGGTGTCTGTCCTGTTTTTGACAGTCTGCCCTGAGGTAGGCATTACAGTCATGAGTCACTACAGACAGCGTAACAATCACCTTTGAGGAAAAGGTTTCAGAGTAGCAGCTGTGTTAGTCTGTATTTGCAAAAAGAAAAGGAGGACTTGTGGCACCTTAGAGACTAACCAATTTATTTGAGCATAAGCTTTCGTGAGCTACAGCTCACTTCATCGAATGCATTCAGTGGAAAATACAGTGGGGAGATTTATATACATACACTTTAAGTGATCACTCTCGTTACAATGTGTATGGTAACACCCATTGTTTCATGTTCTCTGTGTATATAAATCTCCCCACTGTATTTTCCACTGAATGCATCCGATGAAGTGAGCTGTAGCTCACGAAAGCTTATGCTCAAATAAATTGGTTAGTCTCTAAGGTGCCACAAGTCCTCCTGTTCTTTGAGGAAAACTGATTCTTGCACAACTAAATGGAACTTAACCTATATTGTCAGGGAACAGATGAAGTGAGTGCTGTAGTACTACGTCAGGAGGATATCTTTGTACATGTCACTTGAAGATGGAGAAGAATTGCTGTTAGTGGCTAACTGACTAAACTTTCAATGTCTAGAAATAATTACCATCTGTAGAAGAGCAACTTGATATTTTCATAAGAGCTGATTTCATATGAAAGTTTTTTGCTTTAGTATAAAATATTGCCTCTATCTGGTGCATGTTGTTTGGGGCAAATTAGATTTTTTTAATGTTTAATCACACTTTTTCCTATTCATGATAGTGTATTATAACTCCCTCAACCATTCCCTCGCAAATATTCAATTAGAAATTCTCAAGGTACATACGTGTCCAAGTGGTTATAACTGCCCATACATATGGATTTTTGTGATTATGTGTGCATTTGTAGTGATTACGCACGCCAATTAACAGTTATCTGCATAAATGTTCCGTGCACACACAGCTGCTGTAACTACATGCAGAAGCATGGTAATAGTTGTCGCACACGCATACAGCTTGCACATGTATGAAAATGTCGAACACGGTGTTCAAAGGCAAAATGAATAATTTCACGTAAACTAGCGAAATGAAAGCTGCTGCTCCCCCCCCCCCCCGGCATAGGGATATATAAAGTTGATTGATGACATGTATTTTTGGCACATGGATATCTGCAACATCTGCGTACATACGTGAGCCGTGTCACAGATCATAAACTGATTTCCATCCTGGTTTAACAATCAGAACGTTGCTGTTGATGTGCTGTAGGTTTTCCTCAGACTATGTGGTACCCTCCAAAAACGTAACTCAAACAGTCAGCGAGAGGCTATGACAGCTGGCATTGGACTGGGAGGGTGGGCAACACCAAAGTGCAGGCTGCACCATTTCAGCCCTTCCTGGTTAGGGGACTGCTGAAGTCTGTGGGATTGGCCGGTGGACTGCCATCCATAAAAGGCAGAACAGGGAGCAAGCAGGGGTCTTTCTGCTCCACCCCTCACCATTATGCAAATCCCACCCTCCCTTCCATCTCCTTTGCCTTCCTGATTGCGTGCGGTATCAGTCTCCATCAGCAGAAATGTCTGCACTTGCTGAGTAAGCGTGAGTTTTGTGATTCACTTAACTGATGGTTTGTTTCACAGGATCACACATTTTGGTGAGTTGTCCTTGCAGCTGGGGTTAGATTCCCCTCAATGGGGACATTATAATTGGGGTCTGTGGGGAGAGGCTTTCCTGACCCTGCAGAGATCAGGATGGACTAATGGTCTTTCCTCTGACTTAAGCATTACCTTTCCATCAGTATTGAGGGGGAATGGACTTGTGAGGAGGCCTGAGCACTCGTGAGCCTGGGTGGATTCATTGTGCACCACCCTGCATGAAGTTACAAGCTTTGGAATAACATGGGCCCAGTAGGGCATCAGGGTTAGGCTGGTTGAGCCTGCAATGTGTTAGGATGTTCTAATTAAAGAAACCTAAGAGTCTTACTGTTGAAAGGGTTTACCATCTTCCTACCTCTCACTGTAATGGGAAACACATATGGAGCGGGAGGATAACAAACCATTTGTACAATTATGGGTGGATTCTCTACTGAGATCTGGCCTCTTTACATCTCTGAAGTGCTAAAATGGGGCTGGAAAATGGCTATAAAAAGTCAGCAAAGAATTACCCTGGCACAAGTGAGGTCCCAGCTGGCATAGATGTGCCACATCTAGGTCTGCACTAGCTATCCCATCACCCCAAGAGTAGGGTTTGTGCTGTGGAAAAGATTGACGTGGTGGAACTAAGCCTATCCCCCACTAGCATATCGTCCATTAAGGACCCTACATCAGAGACTTACATTAGAACAGCTGAGCAGATTCCCTAAGCATCGTTGAGACTGGTGCAGATTGGCATTCAGGATCAGGGAGCTATGACCAGCTCCTCAACTCTTGATGTAGGATTGAATCTGGCCCTAAGATTCTTCCCATTCTTAGCCCAATATTTCAATAGACTGAAGCTTGATATACAAACCTATGGTAAAATAGTCTTTATACAGCTATCACCACTTTTTTTTTTTTTTTTTGCAGAAGAACAGATGTCAGCAAGTGGATCAGAAATAAAGGTTTTAACTGATTTTTTAAAAAGAAAAATATGTTTAATACACAACTCAAAAGATACTTTTCCATATGGGTACGTCTACACCACAATCAGGTGGTGTGACTGTAGCACACAACAAGACCAAAGCTAGCTCCAGTAACAAAAGCAGTGTAGCTATGGCTAACATGGTCTAGCTTCTACCCAAGGTCCTGGGAGGGCTGTACTAAGGAGACTAGTCTGTGCCACCACCCATTCTGCCCTGACTACACTGCTATTGGTACTTGAGCTAGCTTTGATCTAGCTAGATCAAAACTAACTTGGCTCTGAGCTCCTCCGTGAGCTGCAATCATACCTCCTAATCACAGTGTAGACATACCGTATGTAAGCTTTCAACAGCAGCTGCGTGACTCACTTTTCATCTTCAGAACACTTTACTAACCCTAATTAGTGAATGCCTTCAGGATCCCCAGTGTAAAACAGGTGAGTAGTAGTATCTCATTTCCATATATGTAAGCTGACACAAAAGGGTTAAGCACAATGTCAAAGAGGGAGAATCAGCATTAGAGCAAAGGTTAGAACTCAGGAGCTCTTGGCTCCAGTCTTGTTCTTAGATAATTAAAATGAGCCTACCCAGTATGTTACAGTAAAATCCAATGGGTGCCGTTTCCTTTTAGAGAGATAAAAACAGCAATGAGCACTTTGCATTTCACTCCACCACAAAATATTGACTAGACAGGAAATTCCTCAGCATACCTTGTTCTCTCTGTTGATCTTTTTGTTCCATGGATACAAGAGCAGAGAAATGCGCTTGATCGTAAGCCAGGACAAGAGGTGAGCAGTGACATCGGTTAGGTGGAACTTCCAGTGGCAAGTAAATTCCTCCAAATGGGATAGGTGCAAATGCTGCAAAGACAGATGCAAGATTTCTTGAAGTAAACAAGTCATAAAAAATGGGATGCAGCGAGAAAATGGACCCAGACATTATTTATATAATTTATACCAGTCACTACTCAGCATTATCAGAGCTTTCAGCTGGTAGTGTTAAGTGAGGGGAAAACCTAATTCTTTGCTGTTGAAAATAGTCTAAAGAATAGTTCAAGTCTCATGGTAAAATTTTAAAGGAATTATGAATTTAGAAATAATTATGAAACAATTTGGTTCCTGTCCCAAATTCTCTCCTAATTGCAATGGTTTATTAGTGAAGATGTAACTGTAACTAATAGATGTAACCATAACTAAAAGATGTAACTAATAACAGGAACTTCATGTCTGATACATATGAGCAGAATTGAATTTTCCAGGGACTATTTTTAGTTACAAGGAAAAGTTTCTCATTATTGGCACCAAACATGCAGTATCAAATTTTTTTTGGCAATGTAGTCTGATTATTTTCTTGGCCACTAGTTTTCTTTGCCAAACAAATTTCTTTGATTACTGTTGCATATGTAGTGCTCATTTACAATTTGTTATGAGTACTGTCTCTGCAAGGGGAGAGTTCAAGTGTTTGTGTTCCTTTTTCCTTTATGTTCTTTGATATTTCATTCAACTATTGTATATTGGTGAAGGATTTTTTCTAAGCCCTGTTCACGCATTGATTTGGCCAACTTATTATCATCATATATTACATTTTCTAGTTACTTTTGTTAAAGTGGCAGAGGTTTTAGAGAATAGGTGCCTGAAAATTTAAATGTACCTGTGATACTCTGTACCTCAGGAGAACACTCTACACCCCCATGTTCATCTTTATAAAATGATTGTGTGTTATCCAATGCAAAGTTTGTCATGTTGGATGTCTTCACAAGGCTTATAATGCACTGTGCAGGATTGTTTTTGTGATGTTATAGTAATTGCTACAGTAATATTATAATTTCACGTATATAGTTATGGGGCTGAAAATGTATCCACATGGCTCAAAGCAAGCCCAGGCAAAAACTCTCCAAGAACGAAAAGGCAGTTCACACCTCATCAGGACAGGTATGGGACAAACCCAGCCCAGCCTCACAGGAACAAAGGATGCTGGCCTAGGCAACAACAAAAGAATCTGTTAGACTCTGGAAGGAGTCACCCCCCTTTCTTTGGTCAGTTTGGGACTGCGATGAGGTAACGCTCACCTGACTCTGAAGGGGAGGGGGCAAAGCCAAGAGGGAAGAAAGGACATGATAAAAGGGAGAGACATTTGCCATGCCCTCCCTCTCTCTTCCACCTACATCTACAGACACCATACCAAGCGACTGAAGTGCTGATCAAAGGGGAGAACATGGCTGAAAAGCAACCAGCCAGCCTGTGGTGAGAAGCATCTAAGTTTGTAAGGGCATTGCAAGTGTTAAGATCAGCTCAGAATGTGTTTTGCTTTTATTTCATTTGACCAAATCTGACTTGTTATGTTTTGACTTATATTCACTTAAAATCTATCTTTATAGTTAAGAAATCTGTTTGCTTATTTTACCTGAAGCAGTGCATTTGGTTTGAAGTGTGTCAGAGACTCCCCTTGGGATAACAAGCCTGGTACATATCAATTTCTTTGTTAAATTGACAAACTCATATAAGCTTGCAGCGTCAAGCGGGCATAACTGGACACTGCAAGACGTAGGTTCCTAGGGTTGTGTCTGGGACTGGAGATATTGGCTAGTGTCATTTGGTTGCACAGTCCAAGGAGCAGATTACATGCGAGAGGCTGTGTGTGAACAGCCCAGGAGTGGGGGTTCTCAGAGCAGAGCAGGGTAAGGCTGGCTCCCAGAGTCAAGGATTGGAGTGATCTAGCAGATCACCGGTCTAGATAATACCAGAGGGGAACGTCACAGTACCAATTAATGCATTATTATACAGGAGCCTAATTATTTTACAGAGGCTCTTATACTATACATGAGGCAAGTCATAAGTTTCATATAACTATAGCATTCAAAACAATAGTCCATTAAGCAGTGACTAGAACACCTTTGTTTGCCTCCACAAAACCACTAATAATTTCTTCATGGAAAAGTAAACATGGTCTACTGGTCTGAGTAACAGATTAGCAGCTAGGAATTCCTGAATTCTAAATCCAGCTCTGAGAATGACTCCCTCTGTGACTTCAGAAAAATCACTTAAACTCTGCCGCAGTTTGCCCATCTGTAAAATGAGGATAATTAATAACACTTACCTACTTCACAGCTGGGTAGGAGGCAGCAAAGATGAATTAATGTTTGCAAGGCACTCTGAAGAGGAAAGTACTATCTATGTGTTAAACACTGTTAGTTTTCAAGCCTGGCCCAGTTAAACTCATATTTCAACACTTGTTTACATTAGTAACATAAAAATGTTGGAAAACGTATGGAAAAATCTGCACCAGGAAAAAATAATTTTTTATGTGATGATCTATTTAACTGTGCATTATTCACTAGACATTATAGGCAGGCATGCTAGCACTGCCTAGTCATAAGATTAAACCAACACTTCCCATGATAAGAGCTTGTTTTTGGTTGCCTATAAGTTTGACAAACTATACTCATTTAAGCTGAAATTTCACATGCTGGGTGACTGTCAGGCTAAGATGTTTGATAAATTTTAGCCAAAATGGTTCAGGAATTTCCAAGAATGAGGCTAGGGAAGAATATATATAGTTTTATCCAAGTGTATAAGTCTTTACAAAAGATTGCAGTTCATGCTTGCTCATGGCAAAGTGTGTGCTTCATCCCCCCTCCCTCTCTCCAGTGTTGGTCCACATAGAGAATGACAGCCTGCTACTGCTATCACCTATGCTATTACCTCAAGTGGCAGAGGTTTGTGGCATGGATTTAAAGGTTCCAGCTCTGCTGGTGAACTGAAAACTACGTTAAGAGAACACCATTAAGGTTGCAAGTTAGGAAATACCAGAATTAAGGTTGCCTGGGCATGTGTGAGCTTAGAACTTGGCCAAATTTGGGTGGATTTAGATGGGGATGGCAAAAGGCACTTCTCTGACACTAAGGCCAAGCCCTGCCAAATTTCAAATCCCTGCTCCAAAGCATAAGAGTGTTGGAGCTTCTCAAAGAAGAGATCACTAGAATTTTTTTTAACCTGGGCAAACAATACAGGTCCGCCCAGCTTTGTTCTCAGAAACAGCCAAACAAATTTAGCTGAAATTTTCTGAAAGAATTCAGCCTAAGGCAGACACTCAGCATGGAAAATTTTAGCTTAAGTGGTTATAGTTTGGCAAAGTTATAAGCAACTGTAAACAGGGACTTATAGTGGGAATTTTGGGACAACATTAATAATAAGTGTTATTACATACAAAGACCCATCATATGATAACATATGCAAAAACACTGAGGAAAAAAATAGGACTATAATGGGAACTGGGCAAATTATTCATAGTGAATAGTTTATTGGATAAACTTCACTTTTTTTGTGTCCAAACAAATTGAACTTTATAAATGTGTTCATTACTTGAAATGGTTCAAACCACTTTCTGAGAACACATTTTAGCGCACAAATTGTTTGCAAACTATTTGATTTGATGATACATTGCACAATTCATTATTTAGTGGTTTGTTATTGGTGTCCTGATTCACATGGTACAGTCCACATGTATTGCAATATTTGCCTACCCTCTTTTAATATGTCAATAGGAAAATAAAATAAGTTGATCTATCCTTAAAAATGTATTAAGACCCAGGACTTGATCCAAAGCCCATTAGATAAACCATACAACTACAGACTGTGTTTTTAAATTCGGTGACTTTTATATTAAACAAGGGCTCAAATTTTAAAAGGAAATGTATGTGAAGGAAAAATTAAAAAGAAGCATAAACACTGCTAGAGAAATGATGACTGCAGAGTGTAGAAGGAGAAAAGAATACAGCAGAATTAGAACTTTGCTAACAGAGCTTGATTGCCCTATAAATTTGTTACAGAGTCCCTGAATTTCAATATTGTTTTTAAAACGGGGCAAATGTTCACAGTGCTGTATATGGTTTTAGATACATGAATCAAGTCACATGAAAGATAATGGGCTCCACAGACCTAAAATCCCTGAAATGCTCTGCACTGGTACCCCTCGTTTAGGGACATTATTATAAAGACTGTTATAATGGACAAATGTGTTGTGCTCTTAAATTCCTTGGCTACTACATTTATTTATTTTAGCTAGGTGCATAAAGTGATAATGAAAGACTTACCTTCTCCCCCTGAGTCTCTTAACATTGTGTCTGCTACAACAACAATTGGTCTTCTCAATATATGTGCTAAGACAAAAACGTGGAACTCTTCTAAACTCTCATACACTGGATCTTCTGAATTATCAACTCTGGAAAACATAGCACAATGACCTCAGCTGATCAACTTACAAATGAAGAATTTTTTCCCCTCAAGGTTATTATAATAGACAAAGAGAAAGAGGGAAATAAGGGTCTTACAAGAACTAACAATGACACATGGAACCTTTTCTCTTTCAGTCTTTGTTTCAAATTCAGGTTAGATTAGTAGTGATTGAAATCTTTACCATCTGATACATTTTAGTAGCCACCAGTTTTATGCGATTCTCATCCAAGCTCCTAGTGGATGGTTGTCCCTATCACTAAAATTACCATCCCCTTTGGCACTCTCTATAGGGAAGCCAAGGGTGGAGAGTCAAGTATTCCCCCACACCTCCCAGGTAAAGGTTGAGGCACATTGGTACGGCAGCATAGGAAGCTGGCACTTCTATTACCAATGTCATACCTGCCTTGTGGAGAAAGGACTTCAGTCTCTAAACCTGTGCCTCTAGGTCTTTTCATCAGTATCAAAATATGCACAAAAAGAAAAAAAAAACTAGGGTGTGGGTCGGGAAGAGATGAGGAATCTCCTTCAAATTAATTTTCTTGTCCATTTACTGACTAGCTTTGTTGTTTGTTTCTGGAGGCATACGAAAAAAGAAGCACTGTAAGCAACTCACATATAAGACAAGAGATCGTGAAACTCAAAATGCTGTACAGAACTACAGCATAAACTACTACTGAACATCCGACTTTCATTTATGGTGATCTCGTAATGAGTCTCATCTAGCTCCTACTGAAGTCAAATGGAGTCTTTCCATTGACTTTGACAGGAGCTAGATCAAGCTCAGAGTACTATATATAGTTCAGGTTTCAGAGTAGCAGCCGTGTTAGTCTGTATCCGCAAAAAAAGAAAAGGAGTACTTGTGGCACCTTAGAGACTAACCAATTTATTTGATCATAAGCTTTCGTGAGCTACAGCTCACTTCATCGGATGCATTCAGTGGAAAATACAGTGGGGAGATTAATATACACAGAGAACATGAAACAATGGGTGTTACCATATACACTGTAAGGAGAGTGATCAGGTAAGGTGAGCTATTACCAGCAGGAGAGTTGGGGGGGGGGAACGTTTTGTAGTGATAATCAAGGTGGGCCATTTCCAGCAGTTGACAAGAACGCCTGAGGAACAGCAGGGGGAGGGGAATAAACATGGGGAAATAGTTTTAGTTTGTGTAATGACCCATCCACTCCCCGTCTTTATTCAAGCCTAAGTTAATTGTATCCAGTTTGCAAATTAATTCCAATTCAGCAGTCTCTCTTTGGAGTCTGTTTTTGAAGTTTTGTTGTTGAAGAATTGCCACTTTTAGGTCTGTAATCAAGTGACCAGAGATTGAAGTGTTCTCCGCCTAGACATTCTCCCAAATTAACAGTGGAATGCCCTATCCTGTGTAACAGGGCAAACATTGTTTAATATATTTCTTGGTGAGATAGAAAAGTGAACAGTGATGCACGTGCCCTTCTTATTGTTATGCACAAATAGAACTTTTTGGTGCACATCTTGAAGGATGTGGAATCACAAATCTATGTACAATGGGATTTACTTATTTATAACATTATTTCAAAGCCCCTTTCTGGCCCCATTTACTCATTTTCACTCCAAACGAAAAACATTTCTAAGGTGAAATCCTGGCCCTGCTGAAGTCAATGGGGGGAGTTGGTGGGGAATTGCATTTACTTCAGCGGATCCAGGATTTCACCCTAATCTTTTTCAATATTTGTTCCAGGTTTTTCCATCCCTCTAATAATTCTGTCACCCATCTCTTAACCCCTCTGGTCTCTTAACCCCTTTTGTTAATGCTTGATCTTATCTGAGATAGGATACTAGAACTGAACACAGTTAATTAGGTGAGCGAACGCTGTACCACTGATGTATATAAAAGCCATATAAAAATATTAACATAATAATTATTTAATCCAGTGTAACCTGTAAATATAATATGAATAGTAGAACAATATTAGTATAATAATAATTACTATCATAAGCATAATTTATATAATAACATTTTCAGTACTGTTTTCAATCTTCTTTATATATACACTGAATTTTTGTTGGCATTTTTACCCACTGCTTCACATTGATAAAAACTTTGCACTGAGCTATCCACTGTGATAACCAGCTCTTTTTCCTGGTTGGTTACATCTAAGTTAGAACCCAGTAATGTGTCTGAGAAATTAAAATTATTATTCAGTTTTCTCTATTCTTGACTTACCTAAATAATGTTTTTGCCAATAAATATTACTGCATCACTGTTCACTTTTCCATCTCACCAAGAAATATATAAAAGAATGCGTGCCCTATTATACAGGATATGGCATTCCATTGTTAATCTTTTTATCATGGTGAAAACTGATCCCATATTCAGGATCAATAAAGGTTTTCTGAGTTCACTCTCACGGGTCTCTGTCTCACATACAAGGAAGAAAAGTACCACTTTCAGTGTTCTATAGTAATAGCCCCAAATGCTACATCTTGCACAAATGCTTTGGTACAGTTACAGACAGCTGAGGAATAGTGTCATTTTTTGAAAACAGGGAATGGTGTGAGTTAAGGAGAGATTTTTCTCTGACATAAGAGCCATGGTCCAGATTCCTAGCTGACATACAAATAACTGAATTATCTGGCCCTTTTCTGTTTAGCATGCAAAACTTCTATATGTTGTGTAATTCTCTAGAGTAATATTTAAACTACATGGGAGGAATTAGCTGAAAAATCTTATCTAGAAGTATAGGAAGTGCATGGGCAATTCCAGTACATCACTCTTATATTGTACCGTCCATGTCTTTTACTGAGACAATTTCTGCACTTCATCCTCCAATTCTCCTGCGCCTCAGGAATGATAAGCCTATGAGACTTATGCTGTGATCAATATTCAGTTAAATAAATGTCGTTTATAGAGCCTTACTGGGAGAAAATGGATTTTTCCTAAGCAATGCTATATCCTCTTGCCTTTGTAAAACACTGAAAAAGTTAAAAAAAAAAACAAACAAAAAACACTGACTAGGAGTCTGTACCTTGTGAAATAAATCAACTGTCTATAGAAAGTGCTGCTGAGACAGCGGCTTTGAAAGTTTTCAGAATGCAATACAAAGAGTGGAAGTGAACTGAACCTTGAGTGCCCTTCTTTAAAAGAACATTTTATAGAAATCTGTGACCGTAAGCGACCATCCAAAAGATACAGACAAATGGGTAGCCAGAAGCAATGGTTCACTGTTTGTCTATTCTTAACATGTCTCACTGAAGAGGTTTCTTTCCTTATTACGGACTTTTTGAGAAAACTGAAGCAAAAAACAAATCTCCAAGGTGAGGATATATATATAGCGGCTGCATATTTTAATTTTTTTTGGCGAATTTAGAGAAATAATTTATGGCACAATACAAAAGAAAGAGAGAAATATATCAAACTAATTAGCAGAAATTAGATCTATTTTTTCAAATGCATATTTTCAATTTTTTAAGCAATACACGTTCGCTTAATTGGCAGATTATTTCTTTTCTTTCAGTGATATGGCAACTTGAACACACATTAATGTATAGGAGGGGAAGCAGAATTATCCTCTTTGTACTGTGAATTATAATATCGTCTAGTTCATATATTTCGAGAGGATAGTGCACTTTCTTCCTGATGGAACTCAACATGCTTTACAAGAACATCCACACAGCCACAGAGAAATGCAGCCACAGCTGGGACGAAGGTGCACAAGGACCTCAGACAGGGAAGGTAGCAACACTGCTACCTGGCACTGCAACACTGCTAGTTGGCAGAGATTGGGGAAAAATCAAAAACACATTTTTAATGAAAGTTTTTGCAAATGTTAAATTTTTTGAGGAAAAAAATGAACTGGCAGTTTCAATTGTCAGATCAGTAGAGGTCCAAAGACTTTTCCTTCCACTTCTATATTTTGAGGGTCTCCTTCATCTATATAGCAACCCCATGCACAAATCCTATGACTGTAAAGGCTGCCCTTTCTCTCAAAAATTATAACTCCACTCTATAACCACCTTCCATAAGGGACAGATGTGGTGTGTGCGCTATGTAATACTGCTGCTGCTATTACTCCTACTACTTGGATAAGGGAACTCTAGGGAAAAACCAGGATGCAGCAGGAAGTGGTGCTGGTACTCAGGAAGTAGCAATCCTTGCTTTGTGTTAGTATTGAACCAATGATCCAGCATGCGGTTAGGAGTGGACTCAGAGACCTTAGGCTGCTGGATGTGTTTTCTTTTGGATGAGACAACAAAGATGTGCTGATTATCGGTGGTAATCAAAGATCCCAGGGACACCTCAGAAGACTCAGGGGGTAAACACTGATTTCCTGATCAATTAATAATTTGGATACATTCTTTCTACCTAAAATTCCCTCATCAACTTCATCCTATGGCATTTTTCTTCACTTCCTGTCCTAAACTATTGACTAGCAGCTCTATGAGCTGTTAACGAGTGGGTGCACATTATTCTAGAGGGGTTGCATTTCTGGAGTAGGTGAAATATTCCCTGTATAGATGAAGTTTGTGAAGCATTTTACCATCTTTTAGGATGAAAGGCTCTAGAAATGTAAGAAATATTTTAATATTTAAGATTAAATAAATAAAGTCACTTTTTACTTCACAATTTACCTTGCGATAGTGGTGTGATTCCCAGTCTACTGCGATTGCTAATTAAACTGTGAAAATGGAAGGAGGTTGAAGGGGAAAGTGAATATTGCTGAGAAGTTATTTGTTCCTAGTGTATGAGATTTAACAGATCCCAGTTCACATACTTTCCCATTATTCATTTTCTCCAAACTGCCTATCTCTTTGTCTCTCCCAGAAGATTATTTCAAACCTGCTTCAGTATTTCTTAGGATGACCTCACACTTTAACTCGGAAAATTTGGATATTGTTTCCAAATAGTGAGTGAGTATTTGGACTTAGACGACAAAGGCTAAAAAATATATTAGATCTTTTCTTTTATACTGTATCCCCTTTTCTTTCTCTCCCTTTTTTTTTTTA